TTCCCTAAAATATAGATTTCATTGGAACCACTCCCTTCACCACCCATATCAACCTGGTACCACAGCAAGGCCATCTCTGAGCGCGGCAAGGTGGCTTGTGCAATGCATTTGTGACCAAGCGTGTGGAACCCTGGCTTGTGGGAAGGACATGATCTCGGAACAAGCAGTCCTGAAGAACAACCCCACCAGGAAACCAAACAATTTGGTATAATTGCAGTGGGTGTTTGGCAAATGTTTGCAGTATATCTTTCAATGATTTTCAATGTCATGTACTGCGTTTTGGGGCTTATCCATATCTCACTGGATGGCACTGCACATGACTGGTGCAGCTGGCATGGAGAGATGATGAACAGGTGCGGGTGTTTGGTCTGAAGTTGGAGTGGCAAGAGTCAAACTAGAAAGTCATGGAAGGCCTCCAAGCCCCCAAACATGGTTTGGCCAAAAACATGTGATGAGTGAGCCGCCCTGTCCGCTCAGCACCCGCAGGCGATGATCGCTTTTGCGATGCTCTCAGTGGTTCTTCCAGGCAGCACTGCCCTGTTTTTTTCCTCAGCGAGCGACGGTCGTTTCTTTTCTTCTGAGGTGTGCACCCGTGCTATTGAGTTAACTTTGTTTTTTTACAACACCACATCAAATACAAAGAAGTTGCTGATGCTTGCAACGCCTTTCAAGCCTGCTCGCTCAAATGTTCATGTGCAAGTTCACTCAATGAAGGGCATGAGGGGCATATACATCCCATATATATCGCACACGATTGAAGCACACATGTCTTCCTCCGCTATGGTGCCGGAAAATACTGAGAATGAGGCGGCAGTGGGAAGTCTAGCAGAACTTTTCGAAGGTGATCGCAGGATCAGAGACCGCATGCGTGAGCATGGATGCCTGATATTGTGGGCAAAGCCTGAAACAATGGGTGTTCCTAGCATGTCAGGCATTGCTTTGAACATTGAACCACTGAGACTTCTTGCCCAGTGGTGGTGCCCACAACAAAAGCATGCCAAGTCACCTTCTGTGACACGCTTGAAGCAGGAGGCCCGGCTCTGGGTATTTTACCATGGGAATGTTATGAAAACTGCTCACAATATTTTTGTTTAACGGTTACCAATATTTACACCACCATGCACCCATTAGGTCCATTAGCTTTTGGTTTATATCTTAAGAGTATTTTCAACCAGTGCTTGGTAGGTCCATCGCCTACGGTCAATTTGCTCCCTGGTGGCCGATGCTCCCAAAATTCACCATGATGCATGGGGCTTGAAGAAGTTATTTTCGTATGCCTGTCGCCGATCAGGGGGTGACAAGGAGTTTGCCGAGGGCTCTCCGCATAGAAAAGCTCTTTAGCTGAAGGTGCAATTTGTTTGTTCTATTTTTTTTTTGTTGTTGTGTGTGTGTGTGTCCTATACTATACCCTTGGACCCGTTGATTGCACGATCCATGCCTCCAGTGAAGCGTTACAAAAGATGGGTCCTGTCATTGGTTCAACACCTCTATATATAGTGACCTGTGCCTGCACTTAGGACTCGACTGTTGAGCCTTTCTATGAGGAGCTCTTCAAGTTCTGGAATGTCCGCCTGCGACGTGCCAGTGAACCATCACCATCGACAGTTGTGGAAGTGGAGGACTCCGATGCTGAGGATGACCTGTGCCATTGGGTTGTGAAATCTGACCCCTACCCCTCCTCACCTGTGAAGATGGCAGCTGAAGCTGGTGCACCTGTTGAACACAGCCTGCAGGGGGCTATCACAGATTCTGGTGCATCAGTTTTGGAGGAACCTCTGATTGCAAAAGAAGAGGGTGCAATGCGTGACCAGCTCAAGACTGAAGTCGACAGTGGGGAGGCCACGAAGAAAGTGTCAACCCAGAAGGGCTTCAAGGAGCGCAGTACAAGTCTATCAAAGCAAGAGATTGAGGACAGGATCGCATACCTTACGACACCTGGTTTTTGATGTAACATGTTTGCCAGGGCCAGCTTGGCTTTTGCTCAGAGTTAATATATATACCTGCATGGGTATACGGAGACCAACACAAATAATGCCAACTAGACCATAGTTGGCCCTATATTTGTTTTTTAGTGCTATCTCAACCCCTCTTTGTTGGAATGTTTGGTTAATTTTGGTTACTTGCAGACCTTGGTTGCCTGCTTGCCCCAGTAAGGAAACTCCTGAGCGACAAGGCCATGAAGAATGTGAGCACTGCAGCTCTTGACTCTGAGGATACTCAGGTGTATGAGGCATCTCCCATTGCTGCGGGACTCCAAAAGACGAGTTCAGTCATTTCCTTGGACGATGACTCTGACACAGAGCCACCGACTGATGATAACCTTCGCCGGTCTTTGGCCACAGAGTTTTCAACCGTTTACAACGCAGGCCCGCTGGTCATGAAGAAGCAAACTTTAAAAAGTTTTGGACATAGTGTTGGGGTGGGTCGATATTAAATTTCCTTATATAATTACTATTAACATGTTAGCGCACACTGTGTCAGGTGGACATGCGATGGGAGATGATTGGACCGACTCACAAGTGCCTATGGATGGATATGGGCCGCTGCAGCTTCATGAGCCAAAGGAGCAGGGTGAGACAGAAAGTGGTGCGAACAAAGCGTTGGCACAATCTGAAGAAGCTCCACAAGCTGGGTCTTCACAAGTTGAGAAGCTTCCATGTGGTGAAGCACCCTCCGGTCATTCAACTGGCATCCTTGAAAATCCAGTCGTGAAGGAGCCTGACGAGGTCACCAAGGAAGAGCTTGTACCAGCACATCTGGAGCCTAAGGAGGTCACCAAGGAAGAGCTTGTACCTGCACATCCGGAGCCCAAGGAGGTCAGCAACGAAGAAGTTGTACCAGCACATTCGGAGCCTATGGAGGTCACCAAGGAAGAGCTTGTACCAGCAGATCCGGAGCCTAAGGAGGTCACCAAGGAAGAAGTTGTACCAGCACATCCGGAGCCTAAGGAGGTCACCAAGGAAGAGCTTGTACCAGCACATCTGGAGCTCGAGGAGGTCACCAAGGAAGAAGTTGTACCAGCACATCTGGAGCCTATGGAGGTCACCAAGGAGGAGCTTGTACGTGCACATCCGGAGCCCAAGGAGGTCACCAAGGAAGAAGTTGTACCAGCACATCTGGAGCCTAAGGAGGTCACCAAGGAAGAACCAATTGAGCCTGAGGCCATACTAGTTGAGGAGGTTGGAGAAGGTGAAGGTGGTGGTGACAAAGGACCTTTCAAGGAGGAAGAAGTGAAGGAGGAGCCTCCCCTGGTGTTGAGGTGTCATCAATGGGAGATAAAAAACGCTTCGGGGGAGAAGGAGACTAAGAAGCAAAGCAAAGGCAAAGGGCGTGGGCGTGGCCGTGGGGGTCGGCGTGGCAGGAAACAGGCAGAGCCTGAGGTGATTCGTGATTCCGATGAGGAGGAGGAGGAAGGTGGTGAACCACCAGCCAAGAGGCAAAGAAAGAAGACTCCATGTGCAAAGCCAAAAGCCAAAGGGAAGGCAAGAGCCAAAGCCAAGGTCTGTGCGACCGAAGCTTCCAGCCTGCCCGATGGTGGTTCAGATTTGGCTGAGGACGGGAGTTTGGAAAATCATGACATACCGGTTGCTTGGTGTCTTTTGTCACTGGAAGGGGTTGAAGAACTCAATCGTGTCTATGGGTGGGGTCCCTGCGCACTGCAGGGCAAAGGGGAAGGTGATGGTGAGGTTGCTGGAGCGAAGGGTCTGAAGCGGAAGATCGAGACCCCAAATGAAGTTGATGAGGAGAAGCCAGAAAAGCAAGAGAAGGAGCATATCAAGAGCTTTGCAAGGCGTCCAATGCCTCGAAGCAACCCTGCGCAAAGCAGGTGGACAGCGATCCGGGATGTTTTTCATGACCAGATCCGGCAATATTTGGTTCAGTATGGATTCGCGAACTGCAGCAGCTGGGAGGCAAACGATTCAAACCTGTTGTGTTATTGGGCCTTCTCTCTCGATGTTAAATGTCTAATTTTTAATATTTTTGAGTATAGATCCCCAACCTGCCCTTCGATTCCCCTGGAGGCTGAATGGTGGAATTCCTGCATGGATGCTTTGCAGAACCATGCCCCGGCCGATGCCAAAAAGGGTGAGATCAAGTGCCCTGCCTTGGATTTCCCGAAGCTGGTTGCAGAACATGCCCAGGTTTACCTCGAGGAGACTTGTCTGAGGATGGAGCCAGAGAGCCCGTAGATCGATCGATGAACTAAAGACCTGGTGGACATCCGGGTATATGTGTTATCAAACACATGCTTTAATTTGTGTGTCTAGTGCAGCCATCCCTGGAATCAAAGTTGATTGCAGCATTTGTTAAACATATATGCCATCAGAGTTTCTTATTCAAGAGTTTCTGTTACAGGGAGATGGTTTCTGCAATGTTTGAAGCGAGCGATCATTTTGTGGCACTGCCTTATGGCAGTGATGCCGTGCAATTTGTTTGCATGCACATGCACCTGCGTGTATGTCTATACGCAGTCCCTGTCTCAACTCTTTAGGTGAATCGTGTGGTGGGAGACATGAACAAAAGGTACTCTGGCTGAGAATCTTCCGGTCCAAGAACATATTGATCAAAGAAGTTTTCCTCTGACTTAAAGTTCATATAGTGTGGCTTCTCCTCATGCATATGCGATTGCAACCCCCCCCCATCGATCTATTTGGCCAGGTGGTGATCCGCTCCTACATGTACGGTGTGCGGAGAGGGTGTGTCGGCTTTGCAAAATATGGGATTGGATCTACAAGTTCAGGTGACACTGGCGAGACTTCTGAAGAAGAAAACAGCAAATATATTTTAAGATTTCAGTTGTCTTTCAGCATTCATGTGGTGGGCATTTGAACTTTTGGAGTTATCATGTTCAAGTGCTATAAAGTTGGGCTCAATTTTAAACAGTGTGACACCAACCCTGTGTGCAAAGTAGCATGCTATGCAAATGCAAACAACTGGATTCAAGTCCACTTGAAAGTGCGAAACAGTCATACAAACACTGCATCCTCCGCCCTGCAGCAATGACGCCTTCCCAATTTGATATCTTGCTCCAAAGGCTTATAGCGATGGAAACACCAAAGGATTCTTGGATTTTCATTCAAAAACAAATGAGTGCATACAATAATCTTCCTTTGGGGGGCTGGGTCGCTTGTACGCCCTTTGCCTTCCAAGGTGGTTGTCTTCTTGGTCATCTTGGTTTGGCACCTGGATATCCCAAAGCCTCCTCAAGAATATCAGTTTCTAGAGTTTTATGCGAGAGTAGGGCGAATCGCGACCTTGGCCAAATGGTGTGGCTTCGCCACTGCTGCTGTTGATATTCGGTATGGTGCACACCGTCAAAGGGAGGGTAAACGGCGACCAATGGATATCAACGGCAACGCTGGCCTCGTGTTCCTTGTTTTCTTTGGTGCTTCTTTGTGTTCGTTGATGTGAAAAAACATGTTTTGGGTATTCCATGCCTGTCTTGCTTTTTTGGGGCCAAGGCTTTGCATTCATCTACTTTTGACTTCACAGTGGGAGCAACTCGTGGCCTTCTTTGCAATCGTTTGTTCGTCCTATGTGCCAGTAAACAGGCACAGCACAGGGAGACCACTGTTGACTCCTCTGGGAAATGAACATTTTATAGGAGTGAGGCGATCCAACAAGATGACCTCGAGGACATGGCATTGGGTGGCTAACATTGTACATGCATGGATGTGTGTGCATATGCAATGCTTTCCTTTAAACTCTAAAGGTCTTTGTCTGGTCCAGGACTGTGATATTGATATGGATCACTATTCTCTCAGGAGGAACGTATCTCATGGAAAACCCTCATGGGAGTTTTCTCGCCTTTCATCCTCGGTACGTATGGATGCTTAAAAAGCTCGAGGCTGTTGGTATTCTGGTGTCTTGACCAAAGTCCATGTTTGCTTTTTGCAATCCCACAAAAACAAAGCATCAACTCTGAAGTTGCATGTGAAACATTGCAATTGCTTACCACTAAGACTTACAAAACCGCCTTTTGGATGCGGAAATATGGCTCAATCTCTTGGAAAAGAACATGGGTGTGGGCAAACAGTCGCCGCATTGGATCCCTAGACTTGGGGCCGTTGACGGAGGAAGAAAAGGAAGGTTGTGAGGAAACAACTATCCGTTATGAGGATGCCCAAGGCAAGATCCGTTGGAAAGGTAATTCCAACCTCAAGCTGACACGGTACCCTAACTGGAAAAGGTCAATGTGCACGATTTGTTTTTATTCTTCTATATCATCCGGTTCTACATGAACCCCCACGTTGAACACACACATCGCACACCGTTCCCAGGCAATACACCTTCAAATTTGCTGGCACCGTGACCCGATTGCTGCCAAAGATCCGCGAGGACACCAGGTCTCAGAAGTTTCCTGCCAAGGCCAGGAGTCTTCAAGAAGCTTCCCCACCCTGCATGGAACTAGATCACACGCAATCCGTAACATCCAGTTTAGATGGAATCCAAATGGTGCATTTGATTCTTGTACCATACCCGGCGTAGAACTGGTATTTATTAATAGTTTGGTGCCTCAGCTTCTGGCGTGCCAGGTTCCGTCGGGATCTACTACCTCGCTCTTTTCCCAGTTGCCATGGGATGTCGAGTCTGTCTCTTGGGAGGAAGAGGCAGACCTGAGGGATGTAATCGAATATGTTCGGGGCTCCAAACTGCTCCGGCTTCCCGATGAGTGGAGGGCTGTCTTTCCAAGTGCAATCTGATGAGCCCTTTTTTGTAGATTAGAAATCCAATTCATGCGTAGATTTTCACTACGCCTCTACGCTGGGAGCTGCTGCCAACTAGGACACACATGCCGGACGGGTTGCACATGTGTTGATGGCAAAAGGAATGAGTGCTGTTTCGTTCGGGATGCACATCTTAGTGCATGGAGAAGTTCATGTTAACTGATATACCCGTCTACTGCTTTAATTGGTTTGACTGTTTGGGCTATATAGCAAATGGTAGCGACACCACCCTGAAAAAATATATTGTTTAATTAAGACATGTCTGGTATTCAGCCTGCTTGATTTGCAGAGGCCTTCCGGTGCCCTTCAAACCACCTCCTTGAAGGGTAGTTTGGAAAAGAGTTTTGGCCCTTTAAAGATCATGGTTTGAACAGGTTCCTGCATGAAAGAAACCGGTATGTTTTGTTCAGGGAAATCTGAGTGGTCAGGTCATGGACATGGGGTTGCATGGCTATATATATATATAAAGATCATATGGTGGCAGGGTGTTTCTGAGGTGAACCTTTCAGGGAACATTTCAACCGACTGTTTTCATGAACTGTAGTAGAGCTTCAGGACACTTCATGAACCGTGGGCATGTTTCAGGAAGTTTCCGGAAAGTCACATATAACCTCAAGGTGCATAGAGTTTCAGGAAACTGCATGATACTTGAACATCTTTCAGGAAGGTTCCTGAAAGTCACTTCTTGAAATGCACATCTTGAAACATTCATCTTTCAGGAAACTTCCTGAAAAACAAAACATGTCAAAAGATGGGAGGCGGAATTCCCAGGGACCGAGGCGGAATTTGGTGGGACCGAGGCGGAATTTGCCGGACCTCAATTTTCAGGATGTTGGTTCCTGAAAGTGATCACTTTTGCGCAGCCATTTGGGTGTATATCAACTATTTCAGCATGACCTTGGAGTTGCCCTCCCGTGTGTTTTCTAGTGAAACACTCATGGCTGGACTTACAGCGGTGAAGTTAGAGGAAGGACCTGAAGGTTTGGACTCAGAGGATGCCCAAAAAGAGTTGATAGCACTTCAGGACCGGATGCTTTGTGTTGGCGCCCATGGGATACAACATGTATATATAGCAGTAAATCACCCAATACATCAAACCAAATTGCCCTTCTTCGCGGCCTCAGCAGGAACTCAGGGAGGAAATGATCACCGCCACCGATGGTACCACTCCTGATGTGCCAAAGGATGGGGCGTGTGAACTGGCTCGACCTGTGCCTACTCCGCTTAGGAACTTGCTGGATCAAGATGACCCCTCTTGCCAGCTGGGGCCAGAAGAAGAGACGATCCCAGCGGATTTGGGTCTTCCTCCACCAAATTCACCAAATGGTGGCGCCAGTGGACGTGTTTCTTGTCACAAACCCACTTGTGAAAACAAATGCATGTCTTCACTAGGTCACATGGCTATAGGGAATTCATAAGGTCGATGCTCCTTCACCTTGTCCTGTGGACAACAATTTGGATACAAATGAGCCTTGGTTGGGACTATTTCTTTTGTTTGCGAACTTGGTGGTATGTACGACCTATACCAGCTCTCATGGCAATAGGATGCAATAGGCCATCCACTGCAACCGGCTCTTCTGTAGGATGCTTCGCTGGCATCTGCATTACAGGGAGCCTTATTCGTGCCTTCTGATGAGCCATGTGTGGAAGACCCGTACCTTCCACCTGTGGAAGTTGAAGACCAGCCGTCTGAGATGGGGCCCTTGGATGATCCATACTTTGTGGGAGGTGTGGATAACTCTACTGCTGAGGAGGTCAGCCAGGAATGCCTTGACCCCATGATGCAGCATATCGCTTCACTTGGTTCCAAATTACCTGATGAGGTAAGGTGCCTAGCTCTTCCTTCAGAAGTCTTATACACCACCAACATAGCTGCTAGATTGATTTTAAAATGTGATTGGGGAAGAAACACAGGACCATCCTGAACGTGGCTCTACCGCTGCTGCTGAACCAGCCTTGGAAACCAAAGGGTCTTCGGGTGATGCTGGCCCTGCGCATGTCTTTGGGCACTATTTTGTGTGCATACTTGGTGCAGGATGTTTGGTATTTTTGCACGGGGTTGCTCCTCCAAGGTATCCCTCGACAAGAATGAGCTCAAGAAAATCCGCAGAGTCATGACTCCCCGTTCGGACGGTTCCCTGTTGGTACCCGCTGAGATTTTGGAGAAGTGGAAAGATACTAATGGGGGTCGTGACGAAGTACTAAAGATGTGGGCAGCCAGCAATGGCCAGAAGGACTTCAAGTGTAGAAGCCCAATTTGCATATTACAAACCAAACCGTCTTCCTTGCACCCGTGCAGCTCCTCCGGCCAACAGGAAATCTTCTTGAAGAGGTTGCACAGGCGGGTTCAGTCCGTCAAGCAGCAGGACCTGTGGGTTGATGGTGAATTCATGTCAGAACAAGACATGATTGACATGAAGTTCCCTCCGCACCCTGGTGTATTGTTTGGATGTTCAAAGCGCAAGATATATGTGTTGTATATTTATATAACGATGCACTTATATTACTGTATTGGCTTTATCTGAGGCAACGCATCAAATCAATCAAAAGCGATTGCGAGAAAACCCCTGGATTCAAGCGGAACTTTGCCTGCACATACCCTCAACCTGTGACTGTCACTGCCTGCCTCTTCTGCTTTTGACGTTGCATTGTTCCAATCGCCTGAGGAGAGACAAGTATGAGAAGCACATCGAGCTTTTCTGGGTGGAAAAGAAAATGGCTGGTCGGCGATTGATTCTCAAAATAACTGCATGAGGGTATTGGGTTTTGATTCAGCTTTTGAGTCCTAGCTTGTTTGCTGATTGTAGTGTTTGTGGGCTACTCAGGAAAAGGAAACGTGAGATTTTTGAAGAGGATGAAGAGCTTTCTGAGTCGGAATATGATAAGCTTAAAAACGCAGATAGCAACATGCCGGACAACATGGGCCTGGACACGGATGATACAGGTGTGGCTAAAACCTGTTCAAACACATTCACTTGCAATATGTTTTGTTTCCACAGTGTTCCACTGTCAGCCGTCCCTCTTTTTTGGGGGTGGATCCTGACCAGACCCTACGGTGGTCATTGAAGCGGACGGTGAGAAGGACAAGAACAAGCTGTGGAGAACCATTACCTGGCCTGAGATGGATAGTGATGCACTTCCTAGCTCGTATATCACACGTGTGCTTACATGCACAGCAAAGTGGAATGCAAAGCTATTAGGGTTGTGTGACACCATTGCTGGTTTTGGAGCAGCTCCTGACCATGTCACTGAGTTCCTTCATTTGAATCATCTGTTGATATAGTCATCAATCAGTGGCTCTTGTGACCTCGATACACAGTACATTGATCACTTCACTGCACCTTAGGTTGTCAAGGCGTGCTGAATCTATCAGCGAAGAACTCGGCAAAACTACGGATGCCATCACGGCAACCAATACTACCGGAATAGTCGGTGGCTTCCATCGGAAGCGACTTGAATGAACACTGCAATATGTGTATAGAACAGTCAAAGATTGAAGGCTTCTTTATATATCCAGACCTTGGCCCATGCCCTTCAAACAAAACTGAGGGAGCAGGACGAGCTCAAAGTGTCGTTCACAACTGCCCAGAAGCAGTGCCTCGGCAGCCTTTGGAAGCTCCCGGTGGTTTGAAGCTGCTCCTGCTCACTGCTGGACCCGTAGTGGGCTCAAACACAGGCTTGTCAAAAACGGATCCATGCCCAAAAAAGAAAGAGTTGATCTATATATTATTTCTTCAGGATGACTGAACTTTGAACTGGTCCATATTTGCAAACAGTACCACCAACTGTAGCTCAAACTGTGGTACTGTCACGTGCCTCAAGTAATTTAGTTACAAACGAAAGGGTCAACCATGTGCACTGGAAGCCGTGAACATGTGGAAGACTACCTGGAAGACTTCTTGGATCTATTAACTTACACTTGTCCCTACACGGGCAAGAAGCGGTGTGCTGCCCAAGCTGCGCTGGAGCTGAGTGGCGAGACGAGAAAACAGAAACCTGTTGTTTGATAACAACAGTTTTCCTGTTTGTGGAATTTCCTCTACGATTGCATTCCCGTCACGATCCAAACACATCTAAACGCGACCGCTTGGTCCTAGAAGGTGGCCTTATAATCTTATGTGTGGAAGAGGTGAAAACATAGTGGAACTATAACATCCAGGTCTTTGTGTCCTTTCAACCTCCACTGGATACTGTGATATACTGTATTTTTCTGTTGCTGAAAAGCCTCTATAGGCCTTCTATCGCAAAATCGCCTGGACTGTTTCCAACGCGGCTAGATGAAGCTCCTCTCCCCAAAGCTGCACAGGCCAGCTGCAACCCTGCGAGCGCTTTGGGCAGTGGGAACAAACCTATGGATGATTCATAGACCTCAAAAGAATATGTTCTTTTCATGTGTACCAACGTGTTTGATGGTATCACGTGTATAACATGCACACAACCTTTTTTTGTGTCACTGTGTCACCCAAGGACTGCGCGAAGCAAAACATCCTTGTGTTGCTAGGTTCTCTTTGCCGCAGTCGTCCATCGCTACACGATGTTCCCTGGGAAGAGTTTCGCCGCTGCTTCATCCACAACAGAACAATGAGGATTCAGATTCCCCGTCCTACCTGTGGGAAAATCCTGGCCCACGCCAAGCAGCAAGTGGTAGGTTTTAGGGAACACATAGGTGTGCAAGTGTGTGTCTTCAAAATAGGAATCACGGCACATCCTGCTCAGCGGTTTCAAGATTATTTGTCAAAGAACTTCAGTGCAATGTGGATTGTTTTTATGAGCAGCGATGCATCTCTAGTAATGATGCTGGAAGCAGCGTTAATCTCAGAGTTTTGCAATTGTTCGGGTTGCAGAAATGCACCGAACACTGGTGGGGAGGGAGCCTTGAATAGGAAGGACCATGCAGGACCACCATTTTTTACTTATGTCACAGGTGGAAGAGCTGACCAAGCAAAACGTGTTGGATAGGTTTCTAGAAGCCCTAAAAAGAGAGTCCTTGTGCTTTTAGCTTCATTTTGTGACTGGTGCAGCTCGGTGTTTGCCTGCAGTCTGTCAGCTGGGGGAATTGCTGATTGGCGCTAAAAGGCGGTGCAGTGGTTGAGTTCTACAAATGTGGTATGTAGCACTCAGAACCGTTCTACAAATGTGGTATGTAGCACTCAGAACCTCAGCAAAGTCATTGCTGGTCTTTGGTATACCCCCATGTGTTGGTCCAAGCTACATGCAACCGTGCCTTCATTTTCTTTAAGGTGCGTGGATGCGTTGAATCTGTGCACACGGTCTCAGTCCGCTTCCTAGTTGAATGGTCAAGTGCATGCCATGCATGTATGTTGTGGCTTTTGCTCGCCAACCCCACGACACACATGCAGCAAATGCTATCATCCGAGGCCCTTCATCTCCCACATCAAGTCCCAGCTGAAGAAGAACCAAAGAGAGCAGGATCGGAAGGACAATCCTCGGACCCCTGCTCCAAAGCCAAAGGCTAAAGTTAAAGCGGAAAAGCACGAGACGCCTCGTAGGTAGATTCTATATGTGATTTTGTGGGCAATTCGCTCTTCTCTGCATAGAAAGGTGATGTATCGGAGTGTTAGGCCATAGGTGACGGGTATAAAGTGCGGTTTATCTTTTTGTGTGTTGAAATGCTTTGGAAAGCTCAATGGCACCATGAATCCCAAGCGTGCCTTTGCTTGCACTGCAGAGTATGAGCGGCTTGATGGGGGTTTCACAAGGTGTCCAGGTATATCCTTGTGCCGTTATGTGATTTGCAATCGCTGAGTCGCTGGGTGACAGAACATCCAGTGAAATGATTGTGTGCATATAGATCCTACGACCGGCTCTGCTCCAAAAAAACATTTGTGAGGAGCTGCACAGCAACACTCACAGACTCACAGCTTGGCTTGGATAGCGTGTGTAACACGGCCAGGTTCTAAACCGGATTCGTCTGACCACAGCTCAGCTGGACCTCTTGTGGAACACATTGTTGAGAAGATCGCTGATGGAGCCCTTTGGACTACTATATATATGTTGTTTTCGCGCGCATTGACCATTGAAGGTGTAACCACATGCAATCCCCACCCAGTAGACCCTCTGCCTCCCAAGGCCACGGCTTCTACACTGCAAGAGCATGGGAACGCCTTGCAGGAGGAGATGAAGGGTCACTCTCTGAGTGGGCTGCACCCTTCTACAAAGTCCATGATGGGACATAGCAAAACAAATGCTGCCCGCCAATACAAACGAGCCACGCGGCGTTTTGGTTTGGAAATGAAGCTTGATTTGTCTACGTGAGCAAACCATATTCACTCTGTGTTTCTTTTGTATTTTCTCTTGGGGGTTCTGTGTGAATCAAAACACATCAGTTTCCAAGGAACGTCCCAATTAGCAAGCACCACTTTGAGGAAAACGGGGAAGTTGCAGACCTTGAGTATTTGAGGGGCAGAGATGTTCTCCACTACTTACTTCGAAGCTATCCATGGACTCTCCTTGGTGGCTTGGATCCTGGAGAGGAGGCCCAAAACATGCTAGACACTTTCTGGAGGCTTTACAGAAGGGAGCATCCCACGCACCAGATTTTCCAATTGGCCGATGATAATGACAGTGCTGTCAATTTGAGATTCTGTGTGCCTTTAATGGTGCATGGTGATGGTGCTCGTACATTGAAAAAACAGCCTCTTGAAGTAATCAGTTTGCATCCAGTTCTGGGCTTGGACACCGTGAAAAAGAAGATTGAGGATTCAGTTCAGTGCACATGTTGGCCTAAACAAACCTATGGTGGGTGTGACACAGCCCACCCGATGGCCCAGAAACTGAACAGCAAGCACCTCACCTATCTCACGCACTTCTTGTTGTGCGCGTTCCCCAGCAAGAAGTTCAAGAAGCTGCCTGGGCTTCTGCTGTCTGTGCTCGAGGCTATCTCACAAGATTTGGGGACACTTTCAGTACGTGGCATCGTCCTTGGCAATGATGTCTATCATTTTGCCGTTCTGGGTATGATGGGGGACCTTGAGTACCACGCAAAGACAGGAGTGCTGACGCGTAGTTATCAAAACGTTGGACACAAAAACTTCATACCTTGCTGCCATCTATGTGCTGCTGGCAGTATCAACCATCCGTTTGAAGATGTTAGAGAGCAAGCCAGCTGGAAGGGGACTCTGTTTCATTCTCCTCCATGGAACAACCCCCCACCATTTCGATATATATTGTTTGAGGATTGGTCTTCAGGTTTGGCAGCTAGATGGTTCAGGCTGGACCCCTTCCACTTGTTTCGATTGGGTGTTGCAAGAAACTTCATAGCATCTGCTGTCATGTTGATGGCCTCGGACGGCATTTTCGACCTTGCTGCTGGGGATTCCAAATCGGTTGATGCCAGGCTTGGTCGTGCATGGGCACAGTTTTCCTTGTGGTGTGACACGCATTCGGTCAGGGTTACAGGCATTCGTGCATTTACCCGTGAGAAGTTTCACGCTGCAACGAAAACAAGCTTTCCATGGGTTGGCTGCAAGGGGGCTGATTCCATCATTCTCCTCAAGTGGTTGAAGTGGTGCTCTGCGATCAATCTGGCGAGTTGCCCAGATTCACAGGTGCTTGGCCATATCCACCAGGGATGTGAGCAAAGCCTTGCTTTCCAGGGCATACATCGGCATGGGATTTGGCTTACAAATTGTTGTCGTGCCAAGCTGCAGAAGAATTGCCAGCAATTTCTTGCCTCATACGCTTGGCTTGCACACGTGTGTCTTCAACGTCGATTGCAACTGTTTGCCCAGGTTCCTAAAATACATGGCATGGCACATGTTCAGCACCGGCTTTCTGTGTGTTCCCTGGATGAATTCTGCTGGAACCCTGCCAACGATGACTGCTCCATGTCAGAAGACTTTGTCGGCAGAATAGCAAGACAAAGCCGAAGGGTTGGACACAAACACGTTGTTAGCAACACAATTCATGCATACAAGGTCAAGTCAAAAATGACACTCATGCGTTTTCATCGGAAGCGGAAGCTCAGCACTGGCTGAAGGTGGAAAAAAAGATCTGGGAGCATGGGACATGTGTTTGGACGGTTCACCAACCTTTCCACCGAGCTGCGACCAGGAGGTTCATGAGCAATGTAGCGCCATGGCATCTAAACGGAAGGTCTTTGATTGAATGCTCGGAGGGCAGCCTTCCAAGCCACAAGTATGGTTTCATGAGCATTCCCTCCAAAGTCTTTTCCAAACTATTGGGGGACAAGCATGCTTGATAACCCTTTCTCTTTGAAAGACATGATGAAGTCTTCCAACATGTTGAAGCTTTTTCAGCCAACCTGCGGGAGGCAGATCCTGTGAGGCAGAGGCTGAATCATTTTTTAGAGGTGGAAATTCAAGCCCTGGAGCACAGAGGCGACAATTATGCACAGGCGGAAGTTTCAGGCACCTAAAAATGATCGAATTGCATTTCGACTGCACAGGCTTGCAGAATCTGGTGGGCCCGAGCGGGTGCGACTGCGCTCTCGTTGTGGGGCCGCTCACATTTTCGGACTTGATGATCACTTTTCCTAAAGGAGACTCGTAACACACTGAGCTCCTCACACATATATACTCCCATATGTGCTCATGTGTGTGCTCTCATGCGTGTGGGGAACCCATACCCATGCTCGAGGAGATGTGTGTCGCAAATCGCAAACGGTGGGAACCCCTGAAGTGGCCGAAGGGAGCGACGCTTTTTGGGAGTCTCTGGCTTCTCACAGGTTTTGATCTTTCAAGACACCCTCCCGGCCAGGAGCCTGTAGTAGCTACTTGTTCCTAGTAGCGATGCCAGGAGCCCCTAGTAGCGTCCTTGCTCCTAGTAGTAAGGCCAGGAGCCCCCCAAACGTCCTGCGGTGAATTCGACGCCTTCGCCTGAGGACTCAGGTGGTGTCGCAGGATGAGCTGCGGGAGGCGACGCTGGGCGATCGCGGGCGATCTCGGGCGACTGGAGGCTTCGGACGGAGGCGATGTCTCCGATCCAAGGATCCTCTCATAAGGAATGACATGGAGCATAGACAGCGCAAACGGTAAATAGTCTGTTCTACGAAGCAACAACAGTTTAACAACATTCTTGAAATCTGCGCGACCATTTGTTTGGATTGTTTTCGCGCATACGTGCAGGGTTAACGGGCCATCCATTTTTCCCGACGCCCGACGAGTCATGTTTGTTAACGACAACAAGGTGCAAAAATGTGTGAAATAAGGGATGTTTTTTATTGCCACTTCTATTGCCACCTGTATTTATTTCGGGTGTGTGGCTCAAAAATGCGATCTATGTGGGACTGCGGCATATCATATCCCCGGCATTGGAACATGCGCAGCTTACAAAAGATCTCAAAGTGTGTTTCTATGGGCAAAAATGACAGAACGGCGGACTATACATAGTTTTTTGTTTGATCCTGCTTGGTTTTCCTTGGTTCGGTTAGGTGGATTGTTTGAAATCTGGTTTGTTTTTCATCTTCAGTCCTTCTCTTTGCTTCGATGCCCCCCCCCTCTCTCTCTCTCCCCTAGTTACTAGTTTCTTATTGTTTTTGCATTCTTCCAAGTCGTTGTTTCCACTTTCTTTTCTTCTTTCATTTCGTTTCATTTCCTCTCCTGGTCTTTTTCCTTCCTCATCACTAGAAGCAGCACCAACACAAAAAAATAGCCACAATGAGGAGCAGCATGGGCCAGCCACAGAGGTGCTTGAAGACAATGAAGTGCAGAGACCCCCTTTACAGACATGTTTGTGCTGTTCGGGAAAGGCTTAGGAGATTTAACGCCACTTCTGCCAGGAGATTCGCTCGCTCAGCGAACGGAATGAGGCCGGAGGGTCAGGTGCATCAAGCCCGGGGGTCGACAGTGAATTGGTTCAGGTAGATGTATGCGATGTATGTACTGTTTGGGAAAATGGAGGATCTTGACCCACCTCCACAGGACGACCCAAACGTTTGGGTGGAGCACCGGAGCTACCTTTCGTAGCTGCTCGGTATGTAGCTTTCGACGGATGGAGACCGGAAATCAGGACGGTGCATCAAGTATAAGATAGTAATATAGTATATAGTATACCTGGACCTTCCACGGGTGTGTTTTTTCTGCCGTTTGGCGAAACAGCACGAATTTCAGTCGTTTGCCGTCAAAAACGCCGTTTCATTTCAAAAGTGCCGTTTCGATGTTTTTACAGAGGTTACCAAACTAGCAGTTGGCAAAAGTCGCCGTTTGGTCGGGGAAAGTCGCCGTTTGGTCGGGAAAAGTCGCCGTTTCAAAACCTTGACATACCATCGAAAACATGTCAATTCAAAAAGTGCTTCAGTACAAAATAGTTGGCGTTTGCTTGAAAAAGCAGTTTTGATTGAAAAGGCGGAAGAATGCATACTTATGAAGACCCAGGTATAGTATGTAGTATGTAGTATGTAGTATAGTCTGTCCTAGCAAAGCATGTAGAGCCGTCAAGTTTCGTCCTAGCCAATCACTATTTTTGAGCTGTTGGCCTGCAACCTAACCATCATCATCCACTGTTACTGGTAATAGGATAGACCCAATGTTCAGTCGTGCTGGGTTTTTGAGATCAAGCAGTGAAACTACGTGAAAATGGCTGCTCCCCGCAACCACACAAGTCATCTGGCACACGATTGATGGATAACTTCTGCCATTGACAACTGAAAGACATCATTTCATTTTGGTGCTACTTCAGCTGCACCCCGCTTCACCCCACTCTTCACTCCATACTAGAGATCCATACAACACCCATACAATCCATTGGACTCATAAATAGATCCCTGAAACTTAACCACCCAACAGTCCATTCTCGGTCAAGTCCATTCTCATTTCGCACCGAAAGCCACCGTCCTTGACCTTTCGTGGCTCCGGCTCGACCGTGGCTCGAGGCCTTGCGGGAGCAGACGCGGACGGTGCAGCAGGACGCGGTGAGACGGAGGGAGACCAGTTAAGACGACCGGTAGAGTGTCGGTGGTCGTCGATGGACGCTCGGCCTTGTAGGGAATCCGCGGACTATGGTTGGTGAGAAGGGGAGATACTTTTTCTATCTTTTTCTTTTTCTGGGCTTCCTTGGAGGCGATCACCGGCAATAGCCTTCGATGTGCGCAAGAGGAAAGAGAGGCTTCCTTGGAAAGAATTGAAAGAACTTCATTCATGGTTCTTCACGGGAAACACCTCCCACGGATGTGGCTTCCAGGACAGAAAGGACACCTCACTTGAAAGTTTGAAAGGAGTGCTTTACTGGCACCGTGCTGAGGTCACTGAAAAGGTGCTGGAAGCCTATATCCGCCTCAAAGCTCTTGCATGTTTGTTTTGCTGGCTGAAGGCTCTGACAGCGTAGATCTTGGTAGAGGAAGTCCCAACTTCGTCCGCTTGCCGCTGTCACTGAGTCGCAGTCAAATGAAGTGAACATAAAAGCCCACAAGCCCTTCCCAGTTCATGTGTCCAGGGTGAGCGGACTATGTTCTTCATTCTTTGCGATGTCACGTGTCAGTTTCCGGGTTTTGCCTCTCGACTAGGACGGCATCTCTTTGGATCGTCAAGGATGAAGCTGGACTCGAAACTCCATGAAGCAATGATCATCAGTTATTTGCCGTGTTCTGTTTTGCAGTGTTCTCTTCCATGAAAATGGAACCATCACTTCCGTTTTAGCTGTTTTGTGTAATTAACGCCCCAGCCCAAAAAAGGATACCCCCAGCTCTTCGTCCCCCCAACACACCACCGCAGGCGGGGCGTCCGACCCGCCCCAAACGCTCCGAACACGTCCGCCCCGCGATCCCGCGTCCTCGTCCCAAGCCGCCGCGCGTTCGGGCGAGGAATCCAGGAAGACCGCCGAGCGCGTGGAACGGGAGGTCTTGGAACACCTGACGCAGCAGAAAGCGGCCAACGAGGTCCGTGCTGGGGCGTGTGCGGACTGACAGTTGGTCCCTTCAGCGGAGAGAAGTGGTAAGGAGGGCGGTTTTCGGGCGGTGCGGTGGCCTGGCATGTGGTTGCTTTCCCATTGATTTTTGTTTGTGTTACATGCTTCAAGGAGACAGAGAACATCGATTCAACTTCCTGAGGTGAGGTTGTTCATGGATTTGTGCTTGATGTTTGCTTTAGGTGTTTGGTCGTTCGGCTGAGCTGTATAGCTTGGTGTCGGACGACGGAGACTAGGGAACGACCGACTTTCTTGTTCGAAGTATCCTTTGTTTTCAATCGTCCATTGTTACTTATATATAGGCATCACAGCAGCGGTTGTTTTGAACGTTTTTTTTGCTTTCATTGGCTTTCTTGCTCGTTCGGTCTTGGTCCTCACCGGTGGGCCATCGTGCCGGTGTTCAGGAGCGAGAGAGCCGCCTGGCGAACTTGGCCGAGCTTCTTGGCGAACGGGAGCCTTCCGCCGTCCACATCCCTGCGGGTCTCTTCCGGTGAAGGAGAGAAGGGAACTGGCCACTGGGGGTCCACGAAGTGACAGTTTGCAGGTGGTGACCGGTTCAGCGGAAGGGCAGCCTGGCAGCCAAGTTCTTCCACCTCCTTGCTGGGAAGTAGTGAGGCATGGCTGTGGGTGGTGAAAAAGCTGGAGCCCGACCGGTCTGCAGCCCCACAGAGGAACAGGAACACCTTCAGAGGAACACCACCTCTGAAGGTGGAGGCGAGACTAACCCCTCTTTTGTCTTCGATTTTCAGGAACACCTTCAGAGGTCTCTTAAACGTACCAAGGACCGGTCGGGCCTTAGGCCCCTCACCACTCGTTGGAACTCGAAGTCAACTCGAACCGGATGAAGCTGCAATGATCTGAAGGTTTGGAGCACCAAGCACAAAGACCCAGACAATCCATGCCACTGGTAGCATCCTTGCTCTGAACGTAGCGATGCCCTTTGTTACTAGTAGCTTCTTGTTCCTAGTAGTAAGGCCAGGATCTGGTAGTGTCCTTGCTCCTTGGAACATTTACTCATATGACCCTGAAACTGATTCACAAGTTGCCTGATGGGTAAATATGCCAGCTCCATGGATTGTTCGGGTCTTTCGTCCTCGATCACCACCTGCGAGGG